GGGGGGGGGGGGGTGGGCGGAAGAGNCTGCATTTTTGAGGGGAGCTGGAAGCGCCAGGAGGTCAGCAGGCCCGATGTATAGCCCCCACCAGTGCAGGCACCTTGCCGGCGGCCGCGAGCAGCGCCGGCGGCACCCCTACCCAGGCCTACCCCAGCCATGCTGCCACTGCCCCCTTCCAGCTTGCCACCCCATGCCAGGTGGCTTCCTGCAGGCCTGCGGGCGGGCTGGTTCTTCACCTGCCACTGCCGGCGCCGGGCTGCCCAGCTGCTCCCAGCATGCATGCATCTGCCGCCATCAGCAGCGCCTCCCAGGAGCTGTCGGCACGGCAGAGGTCCAGCGCAGGAGGGCGGGCCTGGCGGGGCGGGGTGGAGATGCCGCAGACGAGGGGGCTGGCGAGGGGGCCGGGGCTGCCGCCGTGCCAGCCGTCTTCTGCCGACACGCCGCTGCAGGTGCTTGACTGGCGCAGCAGCGGCATCGCCGCCAGCGGGTGAATGGCCACTGCTGCAGCCAGATGAGGGATGTGCCAGCTGGGGGCAGAGTGGAGACGGTCGCCTGCGGGGGTGAGGGGGGCAAAAGCGTTGGTGTACGGGAACTGACACATGCGCCCGGCGCCTGGGGGGGAGTCAGGGGTGGTGGCGGCCGCTTCCAATTCCCCTGCGGAGGTCTCTGGTCTCACACCACTATCCAGGCAGCATATCATCAGCTGCACAAGCAGGCGTGCAGTGCTGGAAGGGCCCCCAGTAGCTGGCTTGGCCGGCACCACAGCGGCAGTGGCGCCGCCGCCGCTGGGACGTCCGACCGCGGGCACCTGGGGCCGACTATTGCGCGGCGCCCACCTGCTCCGGCTTCGCTCCCGGTAATGGGTTTCCGTTCCGCCGTCTTCTTGCCTTGCAGCGGCCCTGTGTGCCACAGACGGTCGGGGGGGCACTTGACTGGAACCGCCTGCAGGGCACATCTGGGGTCTAACCCAGCGCTGCGCAGCACTGGGCAGGGCTCTGCTGAATTTCCCACCGACCAGTGCTGACCAGCGCAAGTGCTGCACATGCAGCGCGGACAGGGCGCTTG